TATATATATGTTTGAGTGTAAGTGAATATGAATATCTATTTAGAGGCAAATTTAAAAGTTTTTTATATAAGTGTTTGTGCTTTTTTCGTCTTCTTCTGCTTCTTTTGATTTTATTCAATTTATCTGAGCTGTGGTTTTTTGCGCTTCCTTCGTTATTACTTTTATAATTCTTCTTTTCTTTTTTTTTTTTTTTCTTTTGTCTTCACTTTATTTTCATGTTAACTTATGGTTCTAGAGATTTACTGCTCATCCAAATATGCACACAACAGTCATCGCACAGCCAAGCAGTTTCATGTAAAATTATTCTATGCATTTTTAAGCTTGATGAAATGCATTTCCACACATGACTCACTTATTCACATATATACCAGCATTTAAATGTATATATATAAATGTATATATATATATATATATATTACTCTAGAGTTTAGTAATTAAAAGCAGAGAAAAAAAGAAAAAAAAACGAGAACATTAAATGGAAAATTAAACTAAGCACAGTAACTGGGTACTATATCGGCTACCAGCAAATGATAGCTCATCACGCATAAGGACTGAAGAAGATAAACAACTATTCTGCTCGATTTGTTCTGACAATACAACAATTATTTGCTTTTCCTTTTGTTTAGGCTTTTTCTCAAAACTAAAGCCAACGAATTTTATCAAAAATATGATGACATTGTTAAGCTTGTGCCCTACACAAGTGAAGGGTGATGGCGAAAAATTCTTCACTTTTTATAGCCGATATACTTATCGTTAACGGACACTGTATGATTACGAGTTGAGCGTGAAATCATAACATGTTTTGATATCTGCAGTCCGTTGTTCACCGAACATTTGCATAAGCTCGACATGCGATCTAACGTTAAATCGCACATCGTTTCTCTTTAGCAATCATTTGAATGTTGAAAACCACCATGTCAGGGTGATGGGCATTAATCTTGCTATTGATTTGCAGAACACAGAAACATGCAATGGACATCACACTAATTGCAGGGGTTTATTAGATCAAATACAGAACCGATTTACAAGCTCATTTCGTACGTTGTCCTCATCTATTATATGAGGATGAACTTGACGAAAATATTTGGAAATGAAAATATATGAAACACTTAAGTCAAGCGCAGTCTTGGTAGTCATCTCTAAATCTAATCTTTTGACGAACATTTTTTTAAAGACCAAATGCCAAACCCAAAATTGGTAAATGGGACGTGACACTCACTGCTAAAAGATGTGGAAGTGCTACATTCGCATGGCTGCATCGAGTATTTTACATTGTGGGTATACTCTTAATCAACTTTCTAGATCCACACCTATCGCGATCAAATATTCGTCTATCATCCTGTCCTTCGTAAATGTTCATTCTTAGCCATGTATAAAAAGTTTTTATAAACCAGTTTTTATAAACCAATGTCATCTCCCTTTAAGAAACCGTTCGGTCGTAACCCATTACCCATCACCCTTGTCCTAGATAAGAGTAGAAAGTAAAAGAAGTAAATTTTCATGATCTATAATAAGAAGTGGGCGCGGCTGATTTGTTCTGTTTTCAAAATTAAGGTTTTTGTCGGATAGGGCTGCGGGTGTTGTAAGCGTGTCCTCTGAAAAATGCAAATTGCTTTCTAGGTAATATCTTCACTTTCGCTAACGGGTGAAATGAGTAGTGCACTGTTGCTCAAACAGACAAATAGAGGGAGGGACATGTTTAGTTGCATTTCAAATTTGAAACTGGCAAAGAATTTATGTAAGTTACGGAGTTTTTAAAGTTGTTTCTGCGCGATATGAAGAGATAAAAAAAAAAATTATACTTTGATACACTCTAATATTGGGTAGGCGTGGTCGATTTTTCTCATTTTTATGTAAGTACTACAGCATCACCCATAGAATGTGTGTTCAAATTTTTGTATATTTATCTGCTATAGCAAAAAACCGCATTTTTTTATTTCTTTTGAAAAACAGAGATGTTCTCAGTTGGGCGTGCCTTTTGAACGATTTCGCCCATTTTCAGTACCAACCTGCGCTTAAAAACTTCCAATCGTTCTGCCACATTTGCGATCGATACCTTCCGTTTTACGACCGGGAGAGTACAATATACGGACGGACAGACTAATGTTTCTGCCAAATTTGAAGTCGGCTGGTAGTAGATCTTTACAACAGATACTATACGAACAGAAGGACATGCTTAAATCAGTTTAAAATTTGATGCTGATCATGAATGTAGAGACTTTGTGGCGTCTCTGATGCTTCCTTCTGGGCGTTGTAAACGTTTTGACAAAGCGAATATACCTCTCATCCTTCGGTGATGGGTTTTATAAAGAAAAAGAGAAGGAGAAGAAAGACGTCGCCTTCAACATTCCTTACATTCCAAGTTCAATGCAAACTTTACTTGTAAAAAATTTCAAAATAGATCAGAATAAGAAAAAAACAAAGATCACGAAAACAAACGATCTATCATTTGATTCGAAAAACGTTGAAATCGAAATTTTATTCGAGAAAAGTTTATTTA